TTCCATCAAATTGATGAGCAGACACCAATGTTTCTTTGCGTTTTCAAAGTGATGTTAAACGCGCAAAATCCGAGATGATCGCTGTTCTTGCATGCGTTTACTGGTTGCGATTCAACCCCTCACATCCATAAAATAGGAACAGCAACTTTATTCTGTACGCTTTTATCTGATCCTTACCTGCAAGAATCTAAAGAAAGGTTCTTGGAACCTAATCAAAACCATGAACGGATATAAAGAGCTGGAAAAGAGTAAATCGATGGTGAAACTGCTTTAATACTATTTCGGTTTGCGGTGTTGCAGATTTCTTGTCATACTTCAGTTCCTTCATTAAAAAATACTGAACGTCATTTCTTGAAAACTTTGCTTGTTTTCACCCTTTATGTGAGGAATATTCTGTAAAAATTTCAAGCCATGATGTTGGTTTGGTCCCTTTTCAAAAAATAAAATAGGAGCGAATATTTTGAAATCCTGCAACCAAGATACGCACTTTTGCTGTTTCACCGTCGAAATGTTACTCCTCTATGGTAGCCAAAAAAATGTGACTTTCGAAGACCTACGTCATCATATATCGAAGGAAAAGTTCCAGCTTCCAAAGTCTTCATTCAATTAGAGAAATTACCCTCGATATCATCAGCAATGAAGTAGGTAACATTAAATTAGGAGCTACTTTTATACTTAACTGTGGATGGGATGAAGTGATGTGGATGCTTTTCTTTGGGGATGGATGAATAAAAACACGGAGCTTCATCCTATTTTAAGTGACTTGCCTCCAGCTCACGGAATCCCCGCTTAAAATTATCCGGTGTAGGTAATTGTAAGAAAGGGAGTGACACCATGCTGTACCTCCAAGAAAATAATCTGTTCGTTCTTAGACTCATGCAGAAGTTCTGAAGACTCCCTCCAACTGTAAAAACTTACAGAACCGTAGGAGGAAGATCTTGAAGAGCCTGACTGGGAATGTGAATTAGCATGTGTTGATTAGGATTTTCTCCTATATACTGACTGGAGAGGGTACGACAGGTGCGTAGCGTGAAACGTCCTTATCTTTATTGAGAAATCATATGGGCTTAAAAATGAATAAAATAGCTCATTATATGTAGATGCTCCTGTTAACATCATTCCTACCGTGGACGGCCAAACTGATCACCCTCTTAATCATCTCGTTTCATTTTTGTGTAAAAGATTTGTTTTACATTTCATTTAGATTCGTTTTGTTGACTAAAAATGCGTATAAATTGACACCTCACTTGTCATCTCACGTGATTTTTTTTCTAATAAAAATTCACACTCCTGCCTTTCAAATTTGGCCGACATCTTAGACTTCGGGCACCAATTTTGACCGGAGGGCTTTTTTGACTTCAATAATGAAATCTACGACCAAAATTACATAGGAAATGACATATCACTTGCCTTATCACGTAAAAATTTGAAAAATGCACCCTCCTGCCTTTAAAATTTGGCCACCATCTTGGATTTGGGGCACCAGTTTTGAACGGAGGACTCTTTTGACTTCATTAATGAAATCTACAACCAAAATTACATAGGAAATGACATATCACTTGCCTTATCGCGTAAAAGTTTAAAAAATGCACCCTCCTGCCTTTCAAATTTGGACGCCATCTTGGATTGGGGGCACCAATTTTGATCGCGGGGTTGTTTTGACTTCAAATATGAAATCTGCGACCAAAATTACATGGAAAATGATACCTCACATGACAGGATATGCACAAGTGAAAATACCGATATTCCGGAGGCCTTATTATGGGCGCCATTTTGAATTTTAGGCATTTTGAGGGGTGCTCCGGGATCGGACAGTGATAGCATTTTAGGGTACTGTTTGAGAGAACCTACTAATGACGTTTACACAAGTTTTGATTACATTTTACATTGTTAACGGCGTTCTCACAACGATCCAACGCGAAAATTTGGCAAAACATAGCGAAATCAGGGCCCCCTGCCCTCCCGGCCCCCATGGCCTCAGAATTTTGGGCTCACTTGCGAAATTGAACCTTCTATAGGTAAAGATGATATCCTGAAAGTTTCATGCTTTCTTCCAGAAATGCACGATTCTGGGAACTTTTCCCTCTTATCCGCCCTACAACATTTCAGTTTCAGATTTTCACAAAATTATCATCCCTGAATGGCAACGTATCCTAAACACATCAATGCTGAAGAATCAATTCTACCCTATCGATATAATGCAGCATATTGGCAAACCATTGGTTCTTTTTATGTGCTGAAAGCGGACATTTTCTTCACTTCAAGATGCTGAGTTTCACTCCTGCTTCAACTTCAGAGGAAAATTAATGTATTGTGCCAGATGAAAATGCGTCCGGGAAAGTTTTTACAAGAAAATTTGAGCTCTCTTCTCCCATAATTTTTTTAAAACGTGCATGATCTACAAGACAAAAATGAGGTCCGAAGTGTGGATATACAATTTAAAAATAAATATACCGATACATTTTACGATTTATCGGTTCCTGTGACATCAATCAAAAGTAAAAGCCTGCAATTCCGCATGCGATTCAAATGATCAAATTTAAAACAGGTGGAGCCAGTCCTTAAAGGGTAAATTATGTTTTTGTATTTGTTTTTTTTCCTGTTTGGAGTTCCACCATGTATATTTCCCCCCTTTTTCTATAAAGGGAAAGTGTGTGTCATTCATCTTCAGTGGCTGACTTTTACAAAAATCTGAAAAATCAAGCTGCTATATTAACCAAAACAAACTATTCCTGTCGGACGCATTTCATCTACACCCATGAAACGATCCTCACCCCTGCTTGCGAAGAGTTGAGGGAGGACGTCATGTTCTTTGCTCTCCTTTTACGGAGCATTTCATCGCGGCCAGCAGAATCTCCAGATACCATCCTTACGACGGTACGGAAATCGGCCTGAAATTCGGTACTTTGTTGCCAAACGTTTGCTCCTTGGTACTGCTCTGACTATGCGAGTGCCCGTTTGTCATGTCCATCTGCGGGTTCGTCTCCGACATCTGCGTCTCCTCAGATTGCGATCCGGCGCTCTGGCTCATCGACTTAAGCGCGTAGTTCTGACCGAAGTTCTGCGCATGCACGAACTGCGGGTACGCTTGTCGCTGGTAGTGGATAGGCTTGAAGCTAACGGGAATGAGGTTAGGATGCGCGACGGTGGGGTAGGCGACGGGACCACGGAATCCAGCGGCAGAGGGAACTGCAGTTGGTACAGGGATGAGCGTCAGAGGCTGTTGAGGATAGACGCCTTGGTTCTGGGTGGGGATTAGCATGAGGGCACCGTAAGGGTTGCCTGGGTGGGGCGGGGCCATGACGAGGAGCATTGCTGGGGCGGGGGTGGGGATGAGATGGGGGTAGGGCGCGGGTTGAGGGTAGTGGCCGTGGGAGTGACCCTGCGAGAAGGATTGCTGGGAGTAGGCAGGCGCTGGCGCAGTCTGGGATGCCGGTTTAGGAAGGAATTCGTACTTGACGACGGTCGGGGCGGGGGAGGTGCCTGCCTTAGGGGCAGAGTACGCGTCGTAGGGGGCGTTCAGGTGGGGTGTGTACGGGTGGACCGTGTTGGAGTACTGCGGTCCGGGGGAGTAGGCGAAGGAGGGCGGGACCATCGGGTTGACGAACTGGTACGGGAAGGAAGTCTGGACTCCCCCTTGGACGAGCTTGAGGTGCTTGGGCGGCTCCTCTCGCTTGGTGAAGGAGGCTGACATCTGGGACTCGCGGCGGCTCTGGTCTCGGTGGGAGTCGCGGGTTCCTCGCGGGGGGTGGTCCCGGTTCTCCCGGACGGGCCTGCTGGGGCGCTTGTCGTCCGGGTGACGGGCGAGGGCGCCGTGACAGGCCAGTGAGACCAACAGGAGGCACACCTGAAACAGAGGAAACAAAAGGGGTAAATTCTTAAAAAGGGAGCAATCAACATGTTCAATTTGCATGCTGCCAGTGGACATCGTAACCAACAGGTCAGTTGGACTGCATTTTGCAATTTGAAACTATAAATTCTGGCTCTTCTGGAAACACACTTATGTGCATAGGGAAATTAATGGCACATACGTTATTTTTAAACCGGACTAGAATTTATAGTTCCAAATTGCCAAATGTAGTCCAGTTTTAGCTCTTCATTTCATCGACAGGGCAGAAAAAACGAATTATGCTATTTCCTACTCAATAATTATCGTAAGAGGACAAGGGTCTCTTTTCTCGTCTACCGAGGGCATGAAGTTTAAGGAGGTAACCAAAGCTGAGGACGAACGTTTTGGTCAGAAAGCGTTCATAAATTACATAACGCACTTTTTTGGCATTTTTAACCCCCACCCCCCTTGTAACGCTTTTGTGACTCAGGTCCCTGTCCATCAACCAAACAAGAAACAACCAACAAGAAAATGGCGTAACGCTCTACTTCACCCCCCTCCCCCTTTAAGCGTTACGTAATTTATGGACGGCCACTTGCTTTTGACTGAGCATAACCGCAGTGCAAGAAACGCCTCCATATTTTTAAGATGCAATAAGCACAGTAATGGATCATGAATAGCTGTATCCGATCGTGTATAGATATGCGTCGCTCCGAAACTACAATCTGGCTACAGCGTAGTGTTGAATGTGAGTCAGTTCAAAAGTTCGCGCGGTTAGAGAGTCAGTTCTCAGTTGTGAGAGCTTCCGATGCAGTCCGCGCGCTGAGCTAGCTTACAGAGAGGCAGTTGATATAGTTCCGCACGACGTCGATAGAGAGTAGCGCTCGTTTCTTGAATCCATCTCGGGAAAGCAGAAGCACCTAAAAGCGCCGCGCCAGTTTGCAGCCTCCACAGCAGTACACGCACATTAATGTTAGCTACACATTTTTATAGAGCAGCCCGAGATAATGGTTACAGTAAAAAAAACAAAGGGGAAAACGGAAACAAGGCTAAAATACACAATTTTAAAAAAAAACCCGAGACGTTTCGACTGAAAATTGAGTCATTTTCAGTCGGAAATACTATAAAAATTTGGGTTATAGGACATTTCGTCAACGAATTATTGTCCGCGCATCTGTTTTTTCCAGTAATTTACGTCCACGCGTTTTTTTGGCACGGGAGTTTTGGTCCACGCCAGTTGAGACCCAAAGTTAATCGGCCCACATAAAAATACAAACGACAATTGCTCACGACGTTTTTGGATGAAAAAAAATGTCTTAAAAGAGTGAGGGTTTGGTTGTTTTTTTGTTTTGTCTGTTTGGTCCAACGGAGAATATTATATAGTTGAGAGTTTTGGTAAAAATGGGGGAGCGTCAATTCCATTAGACAAGATTCATTAAAACTCTCTACACCTGTTTGGTGTAACAGGACTTAATTATCTTTCAAGAGATTCCCACCTTGTTATACCTGAACCGGATAAACCTCTATATTTCCCTCAGCTAAAGGCTCTTAGATTTTTTTTGTGTACGATAAGTTTCTTCATTTATTTTGCGAGGAAAGATCTGTATGTTTAAAGGATGCCTGTCATTCTTAATACGTTCAAATTCGTGTAATACTGTGCAACACCTCTGTTGTGAAATAGTTGCTTCAGGCGCCGCCGCACGGCAGGCGTGCGGCCAGCGCGAAACGCGCATTGGCGCCTACAAACCTAAGTGGATACTTCAAGCATTGTGCAACGCGTGAAGTATCCACTTAGGTTTGTAGGCGCCAGTAAGCCTCTCGCGCTTGCAGCACGCCGCTCCGCTCTGTTAGACTTTAATATTTAGCGTTTTTTAACTCATGATTTTGAAATGTTAGCACACTCTGCATTGATAATTCTCATTTAAATTGATGGTAAAAGAATATGTATCAATTTATCAAAGGAGAATAATAATATAATGTTTTTTTAAAAAAAAATATTGGTGGTGCCGTGTCAAATTCAATGATTTCCAAAGCGTTTAATTTTTTCTTTTACATTTTGTGCTTTTATTGTGCTGCAGCGAGGTGTACGCGCAACGAAACGCTCAAAATTTGACGTATTTGACTCTAAAAGATCGATGTACAAATGTGTTAAAACTAAAGATTGCGTGCTCCTTGTTTTTTTCCCCTCTTTTATTCATTTTTGCAGTTTCTGTCGGCACAACTGCGGCTCATCAAGATTAATGTCGCTTGGAAAATGTTTTACAAATATTTGTCACGTTTTAAAAATATAAATGTTTTCAAAATGAAGTAATAATTTCGTGCAGAAAAAATTTAAAAAAATGGAAAAAAGCACTTATAATTATATACATAGAGAGAATTGAAATAAAATTTAAGACTAAAGAAAAAAAGAGAGAGAAAAGTTTCAGCGCAAATTGAATTAATTTACGACGACCAGCTTCAAAACCCCAATCTCCGATGAAAACCCTTCATTAAAGTGCTAAAACTTTCTGCTTTATTCTATTTTAATTTTCAATTTAAATTAAATAATTTGCTCCTTTTTACTATTTTCTTGCCTTGCCAATGCAAGCATTCAACCTAGAAGAGATTAGAACTCGCTGAATTTCCGTCCTTTTTATTCTAAAGGATGAAAGTGAGACAGAGGAAGGGGGTGAAGGGTAAAATTTCCCTCGAGAACACAATGCCATTTTTCCCAGTGGGACCTTCGATCGATCGGGGTCAACGTCGTTCCCCGTGCGAAAGAACGTAACTACATTTCAGTGTTGCAAAATTTCCCCTCGTATATTGCGTTTTTACCAGAGGAATCTTCGGCATTTCTAGCTGAAAATTTTAATATTTTTACCCCGGATCTCATGCAAAAATCAGTAAAATGGTGAACTTTAATTTTACAAGTATACTCTTGTAAAAAATTGTATTTTTTAAGTTAACTTTGCAACCTTGGGACGGAGTTTCGTGCCTTCGTCCAGGAAACGACGAAATAGAACTCTTTCTCTTTAGCATCCAAATAGCCACGATAGATTCTCCATATAGACAGGCCCCTGTTGGTTCAATTTGGTCCATTTTAGGATGCAGAGAGCGAACAGCACTAAAAATTCCGAGCGATGACATCATCCGCCGTAATAGCGAATATCGAACGGAACCGACCTCACCTGCCGGCCGGGGCCGCACCTTCGTCCATCGTCCAGCACAGCTTCATCTCGGGTGAAATGAGCTTGCACTTTCGCTTTCAAGCACGTCGTCGACGTCGCCGGTTACGAGCGGGTCATTACACGCCTTGCTCGTTGCTCGCATTTCCTCGCCCCCTCTCCCGTCCCCAAGATCAAGGCTAAGCTCCGTTGCCACAAGGGCGTCAAACGTCCGCTCGGGATGCGGGAAGAGCCGGAGGCAGGTGCTCGAAGAAAGTGGGACGTTATGGAGTCCGCCAACCACGCCAGTGTACACGACCGTTTTCCCTCCTGAATAAACCGAGGGAAATACTGCTAAGCTGAGAAAGAACGCCATATGAACCTTCAGGCGTTGCAAAATATCCTTGGGAAAATCACTAATTTTCAGGAAAATTTTTGATTATTTTTCCGCCAACTTCTCAGATAATTATGTATGTAATTTGATCTAAAGTGTCTGAAAATTTCAAGGAAAAATATTCATAATTTTCCTCAAAAATAAACATTTTATCCAAGGAAATTTGGTAACTCGCGAATGTGCATACGGCGTTCTTCCTTAGCACGGCAATGGAAGGAAACCGTTCTAAGAAAGAACGCCGTAAGTAAAATGTTTGTTTTTTAGGGACGCTCTGAATATCTTTCCTTTAAATTTTTAGAATTTTTTGGTGAAATCGTGAACGAAATTATCTGAAAAATTGAAACGAAAATATCCTCAAGGTTACCAGGAAATTCGTGGTTTATTAAAGGAAATGTGGAGACGCTTGATGGCTCATACGGCGTTTTTCCTTAGCACGACAGAATAGTGAATATACTAACGTACATATTTGCAACTGTGTCGTTCTTTGGTACATTAGCTCCTATTTACTATTACGATCTTTTTATTAGCATTAAAACTCGAAGTAAATGTAACGTAAGTTATAGCGCGTCTGTCCAGGTGCTATAAGCTACGTGCAAAAGACAGCTCGCGTATGAAGAGTTTACAGCCTTTTCCATTGTAACTCATGATGGAACACAAAGATTATATTTTCTGACACAGCTTTTCATGCAGGCATCGCAATTGTTAGAGACATATGCTGCATCTTGACTTTGTCATTGTAGTCAGACATGAGCCTTCAAGCAAGCGGGCGACGTACCTCACAGCGAGCAAAACTGTAAATACTCCCTATACACAATTTAAAATGAGGAGAAAAAAATGAAGGAAAACAATTGTACTAGGTGCGTTGTAATTTTTGTTTGTTTTTAAGCGGTGCCAATAGGGTACACGGACTTTATGTCCACTTTTTTTACGTCCACAGATTTTTCGTCCAAAATTTTTACGTCCACAGTTCTAAAGCCCACAAAATTGTTAAGTCCATTACTTAAACGTCCACTAAGTAAAGTCCACTAAAATCAAATTCGAGCGTTATATTTTAGTCCGTGTGTAAAATTATATTGACGATATCGAAATGAGAAAATTAAGAGAGAATGAGGAGTTGTTATCGTAACTCATATCTTAAATGAAATGTTAATTTCTTCTTTTGATTCATCTTTTCAAGTTGTCTTTGGTAAATACTTGGTTTCATTTTTATCCTTAAAATTTCCGATATAAAATATGCCTTAAATGTACATTCTTTTTTTCTAATGAAATTGATTACTTCATTATAAAAACACTTACATTTTTAAGACGTGGTAAATATTTGTAAAACCTTTTCCAAGCAATGGCATCGATATGAATCTCAATGAGCCGTAGTTGTGATGAAAAAAACTAATACAAAACTAGTACAAAAATTAATAAAAGAGGAAAAAAACTAGAAGCACGTTTTTAAGTTAATTGTACATCGACCTTCTTGAGTCAAATAC